CCTACCTTTCCCTCACAACAATTCTATTTGAGCCCATTATTACTGCCACTATGTCAGTTTATCTCATTGGGGGTCTCCCTCTCTTTTGCTGCCCCTCCACTTTACCAAGCATGGTGTCCTTCTCCAGGGACTGATCCCTCCTGACAACATGTCCACAGGACAAGAAACAAAGTCTCACCACCCTCACTCCTAAGGAGCATTCTGGCTGTACTTCTCCCAAGATAGATTTGTTACTTCTGGGAGCCCCTGGTTGTTGCTGTTTTGTTAAATGCTGTCTAGTCATTTTCAACTCATAGTGACCCTATAGAGGGTGTCCGAGGAGTGACTGGTGACCCTGAACCGCAGACCTTGCTGTTCAAGTCAACATCGCAGTTCAGCACATTAACCCACAGCACCATACCATAATTCAAATGCATCAATCCTTCTAGTCTTTCTTATTCATTGTCCAACTTTCACATACATATGAAGTAATTGAAATACCATGGTTTGGGTGAGGCATCCCTTGTTTACAAAGTGACATATTTGCAATTTAAAGGGGTCATTTGTAGTAGATTTGTCTGATGCAATATGTCCCCTGATTGTGTGTCTGCTGCTTCCTTGAGCATTGATGGTGGAGCCAAGCACAATGAAGTCTTTGACAACTTCACTCTTTTCTCCACTTATCATGATGTTATTTACTGGTTCAGTAGTAAGGATCTTTTTTTTTCTTTCATTGAGGTACAATTCATATTTAAAGCTGTAGACTTTGATCTTCATCAAAAACCAGAATTGGGGACAATTCTGAAACCCTAGATTTATCTAAAAAGTACCCTTTTCCTGTCTAAGTATTTTTCAATGGTTTTCAAACTGTAGTGTGTATCAGAATCAGTCTGGAGACCAACCGCAGATTCTGATTGTGTATGTCTGGAGTGGCGCTTTAGAATTCACTTTTCTAGTAAATCTAGTAAGCCAACTATTAGCATTAGTCAGAATCACACAGATCTGAGCCATAACCCTGCTGCTCCCCGTGTGAGCCACCGACCAGCAGCACTGCCATCACCTGGTAGCTTGTTAGAAATGCAGAATCTGGAGCGGTAGCCCACTGATTTTGAATCTGACTTTTAAATCCCAGGCAATTTAGATGTAAAGTTTACTAGGGTGTTTTTTTTTTTATGGATTTTGAGACAAAATCTTACCCCTGCTTTCTTCAACCTTGTCTCCTATTCTTCATTATTCTCCAGCTACACTGGCATCATGTTCTTTAAACTTATCAACCTTTTACCTTTCACCAGGTTCTTTGTATTTGCTGATGTCTTTACCTTAAAATATCCTCTAAATCTTAAAGTGATAACTACCTCATTGCTCATGTACTCATGTCTGAATGATTTTTTTTTTTTTAATTTAAGTTTTTTATTGTGGATTGAGTGAAAGTTTACAGGGTACATCATCAGTTTCACATTCAACAATTCATATAACTTGTTTCATT